GGTAAATGAGGTGGCGAACATGTTGAAATTTAATCAACCGAATACAGACGTTGCATCAAACCTGACTCGTTTACATCCTATTGGCGTTAAACTGCTTTTCAGTTATGCCGCACAGGTTTATATCTTCATCTCGCAATGCTCTGCCATGAACGAATATTGAAGAATAATAAATTCTAATAATTTTTTAAAAAAACATTCCATGATATTTACTCATTTGCAATAGTGCAGCACACTATTTGAGCTATCGCAATCCGTGTCCATGCATTCCATGTAATTCGGTTTCATGAGAATTCTAAAAATTTAGGGAAAATGAATGTGATAATTTAAACGACTATCATTTTAATGTTTTTGATAAATGTGCACAAACTGTTTCCGATTATTTTCGGTATATAAATGCAATATAAATCAGCTATGTTAACTGTAAATTTGGTACCTTTCAGGCAGTGCTTACGTTTCTGTATATAACATTTCTGTCGGTGATGGGTGAACGGATAGCTACGGACTTACGTATGACACTTTTCGAACGGCTTCTACATCAAGTGCGTTTACTGCTTTCTACTAGAGCATTGTTGTTCTCGTAATAGATGCACGAGCTTAGGCCAGAGGCATGGTTCAACTGTTTTAGTGATTGCGCAATGAATATGTCTCGTTCAAGGATATGAGTTTCTATGACTCGACGCTGACCGGTGAACTGAATGCTCGTCTAAGTGCAGACGTACAAGAATTTAAAAGTTCGCTGAAACTCACTCTTGCTCAAGGCCTTAAAACATTTACACAGGTATATATAATTCATCTACACATACGTCTGTTCGAATTTGTTAAATATGTGAGCATCAGAGGTATTTTTCGAATATTCATAGCATTTGTGAAGATGTTGTTATCGAAAATCGTTATGCAGGATTTTGGAAACTCTTGAGTCTGCGTCTGTATGATGAGTTTTCATTGTATAACTGATAACATTCTGTAAGCTTCATTCTTGATGGGGCGAGTGACTGAATAAAATGCTCACCAGCTTGCCTGGTACTGACAATGATGGAATGCACTTTCAGACAGGTGGCTGTATGATATCGCTCTTTATGATATCCCCGAAGATGACCATGATCACAATGACTTCAATGCCACTCGTTATCGTAATCGGTACTGTGTTTGGATCACTCCTGCGAAAACTTTCACGTCGTTCACAAGCACAAAATGCAATCGCAGCCGCTGTAGCGGATGAAGCGTTTGCTAATATTCGAACAGTGCGTGCATTCGCGATGGAAAACCAAGAAATTGCGTTCGTTTTTGACATCTGATCGGCTTATTGTTACGTTCCGTTTCACACGACTTATTCGAAAAACACTCTTTTCATTCGTCGCAAATTTTATTCGAGCTCATTTTTGAATGTAATGAAATGGAATTGGTCGGTTTGGAAAATTCAAAACAGCTCAAATGTTTGCTCGAAAATTACTTTGCACTATAGAAGCTGACTTTGGTATTTCATCTCCAAGAGAACCAAGTGACTACGTTTGTGATTCGGAGTTTAGCTTTTATGAGATATTGATGATTGCATTTCTTGTTCATTTCAAAAATTTGTGTT